GCTTTGAGCAGGGGGTTGGACTAGATGACCGCCTGAGGTCTCTTCCAATCCTAATCTTCTATGATTCAGATACTACACGCTGAACTAATAGTGTTTTTTTACTTTTGTCCTAACTCATGAAAAGAACCAATAATAATTTATACTGTATTATTTTCATCAGAGAGTTTTTAAAATACTACCTAGACAATTTTAGTTGTAATATTCCAAGAGAAAAATAACACTTCATAATATTACTTCCGATCATATTGAAACTCCTAGGGATTTCACTGGTGTCAGGATTTAGACAAAATAAGTATTTTGAAAATGTGGTGTTTCCTCCTACTAGGATTGTTGACACTTTTCCAAAGCAGTAACAAGTATTTTAGGTCAATTTGTAGAAGGGACCATGCTTTCCTTCTAGAACTCTTACCCTTACCCTTATCCACTACAGTCTCTGGCACCCCCGCCAGCTTGTCAACTCCGTACCATCAAAAAATCTCTTTTCTTTGTCATTGTTGTCATCCTGACAAGGCAAGGCAACTATCTCTTTATACATGATTATGATGTAGAAACTTAGCCAAACGAAACATTTTTCTAGCATATATTTGCTTTCAAGCAGTACAAAATACATTTCAAAAGCAATGCTTAAAAATGCTACATTAGTGCAAGCCACAATGGAAAATACCCAGTTCATGTGGACAGTGAGGGGAATAGAGTTTGCAAAACCACATTAGTGTAGCTCATTGTAAGGAGGAAAAGGGAAGTATAGTTATTCATCCTCCTAGGTAGTTGGAGCTACCCTGATTCTTGATCTTCAGCACCACTTACAAAATCTGAGACACTAGTCTTCTAGGATTGCCTCTTCTAAACATAGGAGGTCTCCAAATCTTCCCTTTATGAATAAGAATAGAAAGCAATGTGGCCAGAGTCATTAGGGAGATCTCTGCCTTGCAAACACTGATCATGGCTTCCAGAACACACATGCTTCTTGGATGCATCTCAGGAGCTTGCTTCTCTCACCTGGCTAAGATTTCCAAGCTATCTCCGGGAGAATTCATTAGGACAAATAGGATTTGCTTTTGACCTAGCATCCGTGATAGAAAGGAGATTATGGCAAGTTAGTTTTGGTACTAACTGGAGTCCTCAGAGATCTCTGACCCTTTCCGTTTGGTTCCAGGATTGGGTACAACACAATCTATTGCTGGTCTTGTGGGTTATATAATATCCTTAAAGCAATAAAGATAAGAGGGTGAAATTCTGGCCCCACTGAACTCAATGGCAAAACTCCCACTGATTTCAATGGGGTCATGATTTCACCCTGGTTCTTTCAAATTTATCAGCTGCCTTTGATATGATTGATCATGTGGTTCACTTCGCTTTTCTAAGAACTGATCCAGAGAGGAGTAGGATTATGTGAATTAGATGACTGCTGTTCTGCTTTAAGCGCTGTCCCACTTGGACTATCATGGAACTCGTTCTACCACCTTTTCTGCTCCTTTGAGGAAGGTACAGCCACCTTTTGTTAACGAGATTTGCAGTTTAAAGATCCTGTTGCATACCCGGCTGCATCTGAATTTTCAGATAGAAAACATATTTTTTATACTACAGCTATCTTTATCTAGTGCTAATAGGTTACCACTATTCTTTTCAGATCTGGACATCCCCATCTTACCTGTGTCTTTGATACCTTCCGACTAACTTTCTGTAATGCACTCTACTAATCAGTTTGCACACTAAATTCCAGTTATAATTCATGGCATTGGTTTTGACCTACAAAGTGCTTTGTGGATTGGGTCTTGCCCTTAGAGGCTACCTCTCCTCCCTAGCAACCATATTCCACTTGGAATCATCAGCTGCTTCGGGCAACGGTTCTTAGGTTTGTATACCCCAGGGCCAGGCAGGAGGACATTCTTGCTGGAGGGACCTCCCATGTGAAATTTGCTTCACCCCTTGATCGGAGATAGCTGAGTTTGTAAGCTTGAGAGTATGTTACCAAGCCTGTTTACTCAGGCTTTTCCAGAGGGGATGGATGAAGCAGTGAAAGCTCTTATATTTTATTTTTTGTGGGGAAGGCTTCTTTCAGAAGTTTTGACATGTTGTCAATGTAGAAGAGTTTGAGGCTGCTGAAGAATTTTTAGTTCGTGAGTCTAGAAATTTATGGTCAGCAAATAATTTAAAGTAGAAAAAAAAACATTGCATCCTGATTTACTTGTGAAAGGAGACTTTTGCATAGACTGGAAATGAAACACAGGAGTAATCCAAGGGACACCATGATTAGAGGACTGGGGGGAAGGGAGGGAGGTTAAACCTTCCTAAATATGAACACAGAGCTGCAGCCTCACAGCTATTGCCGTTGACTGATCTGGTAGGTATAATCTTTCAGAACGGCCGTAAGGGGCTGCCTTGATAAATCTGTAAAAGTTTAAATGTCTAAAGAGATGACCCTGCAAAATCTTATGCATGTGCTTAACTTCACATACCACTCAGCATGTGTGAAGTTGAGCATGTGCATAAGTGTTTGCATGATCGGGGCCTAAACTTGTAAGTCAATAACCGAAATCTTCTTTGCCAGCAGCACTCTGTGAAAAGCAGGTTGTCTTGCACTGGAAGTCAGCAGAACTATGACCTCTTGTTTTATTACCTTCTTGGTTTGGGATTATTGACATCTACAAAGACTAGAGAACAAAAGAAGTATTATTAGAGTACATACACTATGTTATATATACACGTGTATTACATTGAACGCTTTTACCATTAGGGGCAGCATTTTTCCAGAAGACTAAGAAATATAGAAGCAGAATACAGTAAAAGATAAGAAATAAAATTGGGAATTTACTTGGGCAGAGTCTGATTGATCTCAATTACCCACCATTACGCCATGTTATTCCAACGTAATTTGCCCTCCGTGTTTTTCTTTGAATTATATTATATGACAAACTCATACTAACAGCTGTAACATGACTGCAACCATTGCCATACCCAGGGAAAAGTTATGACTCAGTTTGTAATTTTAGATCATTCTGATACCAAAGAAGTATCATTGGCTAGTGTTGCATAAATAGATTCACGCATTACCACCAAGAACCTTTTTCATGTCTAGATTAATAAAGTCATTAGAGATCTGATGTAATCTTCTAGGATGATCCCATGCTTAGGAGCTACAGACCAGGATAATTAAATACACAGTTACTTCCACATTTTAGTTTTAAGGCTCTTGATAGAAAAAACACAAGTAAAATTTTAAAAGGTCATATTTCGAAACACAATAAAATAGCAGGGCATTAGTTCACTGCAGTTTTAAATGTGCCAGACCTCCTGGAAACTTTTAAAATATTATTGGTTTCCAAGATTTTATATCCATGTTGGCTTAAAATTAATTTTTTTATTCTGAACAGTAATAATGGACAGTTCTTAACTACAATGATTCAAAGCCACTAAGTAAAATTTCAAGTTGTGCAAGCTGAGAGGCAGTCTCCAAACTAAAATAATAAACATCTTACTGCATTAGAGATCCCTCAAAGAGAAGAGAATGGAAGCACCAGCCAATATTTTCTAAACTCTCACATTTTCAAATGTATTAATCAACATTACCAATAAACCATCCTATTTAAATGTCATTATTATCTCACTTTTGTGGCATATACTGAACGGGCTCAGTTCTGCATAATGATGAGTCCTTCCAATGAGATGCTGAGCAACCAAAACTCAGACTGACTTTAGCAGAAATTCAAGTCTGGGCCCTCATACCATGGAATACACACACTGACAATCACGAATCCAGATTAGAGTCCCGCGTGGGACTATTTTTAATCCCACTCCTGCTATTTTGGCAGCAGCTCCTATGAGACCTGGGGGATCCCGGTCCTGCTACAGGGCTCTACACTAATCCCATGCAGGGTTCTAATTCAGACACTACATCTGGTTTCTTGTGACACCTCACACATACATTGTGGGCCCAATCCTGCAGCTCTTACACAAAACTCCCAATGAAATCTCTGGGCTGAAGTCTCCCAGAGACATCAGTGGAAGTTCTGCCTGAGTAAAGACTGTAGGATCAGGAAATAGGAAACTAAACAAATACCTGATTTAAAAAACAAAACAACAAAATACACACAGACAAAACCAATTACAACTATGATTCATTTAGGGCCAGATTTTACGCACCTTGCTCATGCTGAGCAGTACCTTAGTCTATGAGTTGCCGTGGACTACTTGCAGTGTGGAATAAAGTACTATTCAACATGAATAAGAAAGACAAAGTCTAGCCCACAAACAGGGTGAATAGAAGGTGAAAGAGGCTCTTGTTAACAATTTACTACACCAAAAATAAAAGTAAGGCACAAATATTTTAAACAAACTTAAGTTGACCCTCACCTGTTTCGCTTTATCTGGATACCAAGGATTAATCGGGAAGTGTACAGCAAGCATTTGCTTTTAACATGGTGACTAAAGTTGCAGGTTGCACCTTTTAAAAATTAGTTCTTTAAAGCTCCCAATAACTCCCCCATACTCAGAGTCATAAAAAAGGATTCATAATGTTTAAGACTCCAATGAAAAATGTGTATAAAATTAAGAATAATTCTTTAGAATGTGATTTCACACACACACACACACACACACACACACACACACACTATTCTGAAAATAATACCAGGTTCCTGCAAAGAAATATCAGTTACAGTGTGAGAATATACAGCAATGCTATTTATGTGGACATCTAAAAGCGCACACACATACAAATTTTGAAGAGAAAAAATTAATTAAGCTCAATAATTATGATTTACAGAATTACAATTAGATACTAAGAATAGGATAATTCTAAAACAGGCAGGTAGACTAATTTTCCAGGAAAATAAATGTAATTCTCATACCTTTTTAAAAAAATTATTGTCTTTTACACATGTATAAAGACAAGAAAAATATTTGTTTCAGTTTGTTTTGTTGTCTTATGATCTAATCAGACTGTTGACATTCTACTTCAACCTATGGTACATACTATATTAAATAGAGTTATCACTTACCAATTCTCTCAAGTTTTCCTTAATTCTCTTTTCAGTTTGTTTTTAGAAGAAAAATCATACAAAACAAAAAATAGCTAGTCACAGCTCCATTTTCCAATTTTTTTTTTAGAGCGGCTCAATTATCTGTTGATAAAACACTGACACTACTAGACTAAGGCAAGCACATAGAGTAGTTTTGATAGTGTGCAGCTTCAAATGTAACAAAGAGAAGGATTAACAGATTTCCTTAGGAACAAACTCTTAATAGCTCTATTGGCTCCCAGTACTGGTCATTTAATCTGACCTTCAAGATATCTCAAACTGTTACACAGCAGTACTATATATCATCATCTGAATCCCAGATATTCCCAAGAGACCTACAGAAACTGCTTGTAACATTGCCACATAGTGCTGTCCCCAACTCCTCTCCACAGCACTGATTTATAAAGCAGCCCATGGGAGGAACTAGCTATTTAAAGCTATACTCTCAAAATAAACTTTTGGGGGGAGGGGACAGGGGGGCACCAAAATCCATAACAGAGTAAAGTTTGGAAGTATAAATGTAAGAAGAAAGTTTAAATAGCAAAGATTGTGACACAAACAGATGAAAGCCAAGAAAGTCAAAGTTAAAGCTAACACTCCCACTATAGAAAATAAATAAAATAAAGCACAACAGCCTCTTTTGCCAGGCAGCAGGAGACTGAAATGAAGAAGGCTCTAGCCAGTTTCATCAAGCCTATTCAAAATCCCTCTGCAGGAGTGAAACTGTCCAGAATCAAGTCCATTCCATACTGCTGCTTGGCAAAGCTATAAGCAGCAGAGGTAGGCACTGGAGAATAGATTCACAAGAAGGACTTAGACACCAAACTGTCACTTTAGGCACAATAAGTCCACTATTTAGACACCACTGACTTTCACAAAACCACCACTCAGGGGCTGCCTAACCCCTGTAGGCACCTAGGGTACATCAACACTGCAATAAACAAATTACAGAACTGAGTCTCAGAGCCCAGGTCAATTGACTCGAGCTCTCAGGGCTCATGTTGTGTAGACATTTGGGCTTGGGCTGGAGCCCGGGCTCTGAGACCCACCCCTTCTGTGGGGCCTTGACCCCAGACCAAGTCTATTCATTTTCACACCATTTTATAGTCCTGCAGCCCGAGTCCCACGAGCCTGTCCAAGTCAACTGACATGGGCCAGCCACAGCCATGCCACATGTCTTTTATTGCAGTGTACACATACACTATGTTTCCACCATTACATTCTTCCAGGTGCCTAAATTTTGGCAGCTGGATATGTTTACAGCTGCCTAATTCCTGACACCAACCAGCAGCTCAGTACCTAACTCATGCCTAAGCCCTGATGGGATTCACAAACAAGGTGTTCCCCCACCTTGGAGAATGTCTACTGGGTCAAGCCCCACACACAACATAGAGGGCAGAGGTGCTGCTGCCACCCTCATACCCAGTGGTTAGAGCTCTCACCCAAGCACCCATCTCCATTCTGCCTGATGTGGAGCAGGGACCTAACCCAGATCTCCCATCTCCCAGGTGAGTGCCCTAACCACTCTTCTCTCTCACTGTCCTCTGCCCCAATTAATACTTAATGCAGGGATTGGCAACCGTTGGCATGCGGCCTGCCAGGGTAAGCCCCCGGCAGGCTGGGCCAGTTTGTTTACCTGCCGCATCCACTAGTTCGGCCAATCGCAGCTCCCACTGGCCACGGTTCACCGTCCCAGGCCAATGGGAGCTGCGGGAAGCGGCGCGGGCCGAGGGATATGCTGGCCACGGCTTCTCGCAGCCCCCACTGGCCTGGAGCGGTGAACCGCGGCCAGTGGGAGCCGCGATCGGCCGAACCTGCAGACGCAGTAGGTAAACAAACCAGCCCAGCCCGCCGGGGGGCTTACCCTGGCGGGCCACGTGCCAAAGGTTGCTGATCCCTGACTTAATGTATACACAGTGAAACATCTCCAACAGCAGAGGCTGCAAGCCCCACAGAATACCCTATAGCCAGTCATTAGGGCACTCAACTGAGAGGTGGGAGACCCAAGTCTCACTGCCTCTGCTAGGCAGAGGGGGGATTTGAACCCAGATCTCCTACACCCTCTGTAAATGCTATATCCACTGGGCAAAAAGCCTGGGGAGAGGGAGCAATGTCACCACCTTTCCTGCTTTTTTTGGTGAAAAACCACTAATCTGATTTGGGGCCCTGACTCCCTTTGAGAGTGGCGAGTAGACTATACACCTCTCTTAGGGATTTCCTACAGGCTACCTTAGACAGATCTCTGCTTTGCAGGTTGTCTTTTGTGAGTTCCTTTTTTAGGTGTCAAACTCTCCCCATGTATTCTATAGGGAGCCTAACTTGAGGCTGTGAATTCCTCTAGACAGCCTAAAGCTAGGTGCTGCAATGCTGAGAATTGCAGTGCTTAAGTCCCCATGGTGAATCTAGCCCTGTGAGGACCACCCAACAAAATGGAAAATGGAGGTGAAAAGAGCAGGAGATACTTCTTTCTCCTTACTCTCCCACCCCCACAGCAGCCTGGAGGCTCTGGGGAAGGGAAGAGTACTAGCGATACCCCATCCTTGTCAGTGGTGAGGCAGGGATGGGGACTGAAACATTTCCCTTCCCACAGTCATAAGTGCAGAAGCTCCAAGTTTATTTATTAAAATCACCTACTAGCCAGAGGCTGATTAAAAAATGGAGCCCTCAGTCAGGGACTGGGGAATAACATTGTGATGGCACTTGGGTAAGCAGATCTTCAAATCAAGACTGGATGCCTTTCTGGAAGGTATGCGTTAGTCAAATACAAGTTATTGAGCCCAGTACTGGAGTGACTGGCATAGGTGACTGTTATACAAGAGATTAGACTAGATAATCAAATAATCTTTTCTTACCTTAAAAGTCTAGGACTTGAAGCACATTCCTCCATCTAGTGCTGAGTACCAGTCATTTCCCCAGGCTCTTTGCTAGTGTAGGGTTACCATACGTCCAGTTTTTCCCAGGCATGTTCGGCTTTTTGGTAATCAAACCCCCGTCCGGGGGGGATTTCCAAAAAGCCGAACATGTCCGGGAAAAATACTCCCAGCTTTGCCGGCATCCCTGGCTTACCTTAGAGCGGGCTCCGGCGACTGCTGCTGCTCCCTGACTCCTCAGCTCTGTAAGAGCCGAGCTGCCCGAGCGCTACCGGCTTCACGGTTTGCCGGGCAGCCCCCAGACCTCCAGACCCTGCGCCCCCGGCCGGGCGCTTCCCCTCCCGGGCTCCGGCTGCACTGGGGAAGCGCCCGGCCGGGGGTGCAGCGGGTCTGGAGGTCTGGGGGCTGCCCGGCAAACCGTGAAGCCGGTAGCGCTCGGGCAGCTGTTTCGTGTGGTTGGGAGGGAGGAGGGGGAATGAGGGGCACTCAGGGGAGGGGGCAGAGCTGGGGCGGGGCCGGGGGCGGAGCGGAGACTTTGTGGAAGGGGCAGAGTTGGGGCGGGGTCAGGAAAGGGGCGGGGCCAGGGCCCCGTGGAGTGTCCTCTTTTTTAAAACCTTAAGTATGGTAACCCTATGCTAGTGGGGCCTTTCACCCAGCAGATTAAACCTCTGCTAGTAAATATCTGGTACATTTTTCAAGTCCTAACAAGGCCTTATGTTCCCCTTGCATGTAAGAGCAACAACAGGAAATAAAATATCAGCACCCCATTCCATTCCTTTTGATGTGCAGTTACTGTGCTACATTTTATTCACCTTCACCATAGGACTGATGGGGATGTTACTATGCATCATAATGAACGAAACCAATAATCCAGCTAGACAAATATTCCCTCTCTAACAATGGCCTATGATGGATGTTTGAAGGGAAAATGAACACACTTCCCAAAATACCTAGCTAAGCATGTAATAACAACCTATTGAGCAGACTTTCTTCTTTACCACGGGTAGTGATTAGTTTATAATTTGGATATTTTTCATAACCAGTATCTTAGCTTATGTAACTGCAAATACTACATTTATCTCTATAAATGTCTAAACTTTTTTTTAAATGTTGATAAGCTGTTTACCCAAATATATGGCAGTGAATTCCACAGATTAATTATATGGTGCATAAAAAGTATTTTCTTTCATCAGTTTTCAATTTGTATCCTTTACTTCATAGTGTTGTCTTCTTCTATTTATCATTTTCCATAATATAAGCATCCAACCAGACATTACTTTATTTTATCATATTATATATGTTTGTCTCATATATCCATCCATTTACTCTTCTCCTTTCCAGCCAAATCATCTCAGGATTGGCTTGGGTTTTTTTTTTTCTTTTTCTTTTCTTTTCTTTGGGGGGGGGGGAGAAGAAGAGGGGGCGGAAGGGGTGGTTGTTTGTTAGTTTTGTTTTGCTTTTTAAAATCTTTCCTTGCTTGGAACATCCTCTCTAGACCTGGTTGGAAACGGTTTGTTTCTCACAGAAAATTTGAACTTCAAAATCAAAATTTTCTGTGGAAAGCAGAAACTTAACAAACAAACAAAAATGTTTAATTGAAAATCCAATTTCTGTGGAAAATTCTCAGCCAGCACTGCTCCCCGTCTTATCCCTGAAGTACTCCACTAACAGTCATTTTTTCACATTGGGAACTGGCTGTAAGACTCACCTGGAGGTTGATATTCCCACTTATTTGTTATTTCTTATGTTGTTTTTAACCAATAACAGGGGTGCTTTACTTCTTACCCCATGGTTACCAGGTTTCCATAACAGCCTCTCGTGTAAGATTTCAGCAAACGCCTTAGAAAGTCTCAATTAAATCTACAGTTTCTACTTTTTCACTAAAGTGTTAACTCTTTAAAAATTAAATTCTAACAAATTAGGAAAGCATGATTTACCCTTACAAATGCTACACTGATTTTCCCCTTACCATATTGCAGTCCCCTACTCTGTAACTGGATCTTTCACATTACTCCCAAATTTTTATATGGAGATATACCTATCTCATAGAACTTCATTTCCAGTAAAATTTAATCCTCCATTGAAAGGGATAAGAAGTCCAATAGTGGGCTCTGGTATTCTTGCTTGGAAAGTCTTTTTTCAATATGTAATTGTTCTCACTGTTCAGAAATTATTCCTGTTATCAGCCTGAATTAATTTCCTCATTAGTGTTAGGTCATATTATTTTAAACCTCTTTCAGATAGTACTGTATACACATCTTCAAAGGAGAAAAAGGATTATGGCAATTATTTCTGTCTCATACTCCCCTACTTTTCCAGGGGGAGGGGTGTGTACAGAGCGCGAGGCGGGGGGGCAACTATCAGAACAACAAGTGATATTCTTCCATTAAACCACTTCAAAAAAAAAAAAAAAAAAAAATATTACAATAAAAAAAAAAAAAAAAAAAAAAAAAAAAAAAGTGTATTTGATGCCAC